AAATAAGAAATAGGAAAATGAATGTTTAGATTTGAACAATATGATGTTTTACCATCTTTAATTGCTACCACATCCAAGGTTTGGGGATATACATTCATTCAGTATAAGACCAACTGACGGCGCACTAACTACCATACGGGGAAAATGATTTACACAGGAGACAGGATTGCAAGCCAATATATATACTTTATTTCTCTTTGTTAACTTACAATGCTGCACGTTCATAGAGGCAATGTCGAACATAGATAGTTTGATATATACATGGCATCTTCTGTACGTATTGTCGTCCATCGTGGGGACTATCAGGCCATGTGTTAGCCGGCTACAACTTCGCCTTTTCTTTCCTTTATGATAACAACGATTATAAAAACTTTACAGGCAATCTCGAGATCAGCTGCTCTTGGTAATGCCCACCGTCATCTTGGTTACGGATCTGAAAAAAACAATGAAAATATAGTAAGGCCGGTTTACTGTCTACCGTAAATAATTCATTCACTACTACCACTACAGCTACTACATATGTGTCGCAGGGCTATCAATATGTTTACCTTCTTTGTTTTCCAGACGTCTGTCACCATGGTAACTGGTTACTGATGTAACCCAAGTTGGGTTACATCATGGTGTAACCCAAGTTGGGTTACATTAGCTGGTGTGTTACGCTGAAAGGCGGTTAAACCGGCTATACAGATACAGATCATGTTGCAATTTTATAGCAAGAGGGATTTAGTGTCCTGTCACCATATATATGAATGTGTTTGAGTAAGACTTAACAGAGCAGACCTTTATGTGAAGGTAAACATGTCATGATGCATTTGCTTTGTAAATGTTACCTTTCTAGTTGACAGGTTGAAACGCAAAATCTTTTCTTTAGTCACGCCTCAAAGCATTCTTAAAGGTTCCCTCACATGTATCTTTGCGCATACTTGAAGGTGTGCTTAAAGATAGAATTTCGGGAAGTATATATCTAACGCGGGTGTTCATAGCCACCGAAAACGCGATGACTAATGGCCCAGCTTTCATCATGTCGGAAAAACAGCTTTGTTTTATTACATCCAATATGATAGACGTCCTGGTGACGCATAAGACAGGATTAGGTGATAAATCTCTGACACATGAGAAATGGTTTTGTCAACCCTGCGCACATCCATCCTGCAGAGTGACGCTGTCACCCACCCGAAAATCAATGTCTGATGGTAAGAGCGCCTGTTCCTCACTATCTTATCTCAGCTGGGTACTGTTGAATCATCTTAAAGCGTTTGTTTTAAAGCAACAAGCTTGTCTTGGCGACTGACACAAGCTGGACAGGAATAGCGCTAAGCGGCCAGTATAGTAAGACATAACTCAATTTAGACTGGGATAATTATTAGAGCATAGCCTAACTACGGGTAATTAGTAGATATCAATTTGTGCAAACGTACGTTTGTAGCTTTGACCATTATGCACATGAAAATCATATTTTTATTGCAGTTATTTATACCAAAGTGCTGTATTATAACTTTAAAGATAATTACATTTGGGACAATAAAATATGATGACGTCATCCATATGGTCCATAAAATCATATTCATTACCCTTTTGTACCCAGGTATCAATATTCAGTACAACTACAGTTCTTTCTGAATTTCTTTGTGACAAAACGATGGAAAGTTTAAAATGCCAAATTAGTGAGGACACCTTAAAGTGAAGTCACAGAAGCGGTGGGTTGTTCATTTCTTGACATAAACTGAAATTGTACTGTCGGAAACTTGGGTAAGGCCAACTACTTGCAATATACAGAGTAGTTCATAATTAGCCCGACTGATTGTAACTCGTGTATGTAGACTGTACCTTCTATGGTAATACTACGTGCTGCACAACCCGTACATGTAGACTGTACCTTCTATGGTAATACTACGTGTTGATTCAGCATCAGCTCCACCAGGTCCCCGATCTGCAGGACGTCTGTGACCTTGTTTTCAGACGTCCAGATGAAGTTGTAGTCCAGCGGGTCCAGCCGCTGGGCAGTCCTGCTGTCCGACACGGGCCTGGCAGAGTCCACCACCCGGTTATCATCCTGCTGAACAACGGCGCCAGAACCGTCCGCGCTGCGCTTTTTACTGTACGTGAAACGAAGTAGAAGGAGTTTTAAAGGCATCCAATGCAATTTCAGGGCGGCAAACTTTAAAAATTTTTCTGGATGAGGAAATCTGCCTGATATATTGACATTTTCGTCATTATTTCATACTTGAAGCATTTTGAATTAGCCCCAAACACGTTACGTATTTTTTAGTACCAACAATAAACATATGTTCCTAGAACCCGCCTAAAATAAAAAAAAACAAGTAACTGTTCCGTCGGTGTCATCACAATTTTACCTCACAAATACTATGGGATTAATAAAATGACCAACATTAGCAGCAAATTGATCTTGAAAATCCAGTTTTTCCGCCCTGAAATCGCTTTGGGTGCTTTTATTATTTAAAGACGTACAGCGAGCATTAAGTTTACACACAGAGCACCATGATTTTTTCAATGTCCTCAAATTGTAATGGCTGAGCCTACTTGCCGTGCAGCATGTACCAGGCTGTTCAGGTTTGAGAACAGAGAAACGTGTTGGATCTGACGTGTACTTACTTCAAGGACTGGTCTGCCGCACTCTTCACCATCTTCCAGATATCAACCACTGGCTGCCGTTTTCCCTTCGATCTGGAAAGAAAAAGTAACAGGACTGGCATTGAAAACACACATTGCCATGGCGACGGTAGTTGCAGGCTGTTAGGGTTATTTTTCATGATTTTGAGGAAGCCTTGGTACATGTACCCTTCCCTCCCCTGAGTGTATAGTGAACGAGCCCCAGGGTCACAGAAAGTATGGCATCCGGGGCAGACAGGTCTTTCCAAGGGTTTCCAAGAATGTGGGCATGTCAATAAACAGATCTGGGAGACATTCCTGTGGACATTTCATGCCTGTGGACAAAATGCCTGTACCATTCCTAGAATTCTTGCAAACTGCACACAATACTGCACCATTAGGCTCCTCCCTGAGACGTCGCCAAAAATGCCCTTCGTCAAGACAGCTCATCTTTGGTATGAAGGACATTACAAAGCCATGAAAAATTGAATGTAGAAATAGGAAATAGGAATAGAAACAAATTTATGAGACCAGAGGTCTTTGTCCATTCTGTCCTAATGAGATTGATGATGAGCGGAATTTTATTCTGAATTGTCTACTATGTGATGATAAACGCACAATAAACTTGCTAATTTTCATACTATAGAAAGATTCAACTTCGTTCTAGAAGGTAATTACTGTGTACAAATAGGTAAATATATCAAAGAATGTGTAGACCTTAGACCAAATTTCGCGCAAGGCCTTTAATTTGTCATTAGACAGTTTGTAGCTTGATCAGCCAACGGGAAGTCGTCTTTTCAGTATAATGGAGAGCATGGAGAGGTTTATCTTCTAACACACCTCACAATTAGTCTGACGGCGACTGACGCTGGTGAGAAAAGATAAAAACGTACTGCCTGAGGGAACGAGTTGTAGTGGCGTCGGCAACTTACACAATTCATCTCATTTACAGACACCCAAAGCGATTTCCGGACAGTAAAATTGGATTTTCAAAGTCAATTTTCTGGTCATTATTTTTAATGTAGTAAGTTGAATCAATCCTATCCTGTCAGGATCTTCATGACTGTGAGACAAAATACGACGTCGCTGACAGAATTTTGCTTGTTCCGTATCGTAGGCTGGTTCTAGCTATTTATTGGTGGTACCATAAAATAAAGAGACGCCACACGTCCCTTGTTTTGAGCAATTCCAGAGGTTTCAAACGTATGAAATGATGACGAAAGTGTTCAGGCTAAGAAATGCAATGACAGTACATGTCAATATCAGGCAGCTTTCTCCATGATCCATGATAATTTTTGCCGTCCTGAAATTACATTGGATGCCTTTAACACTTGTTCACCATACATATTACATGTTTCATTATCAAAGTATAATTGATATTTCAGTTCATTCCTTAGTCCAGCCTAATTCTACTTTAACCTGCAGCTTGACTGCTACCCAACAACTGTGACCGGCTGTGACCGGTTGTGACCGGTTGTGGATTACTCTGAAAACTACCACTGAGAAATTTTCCAGTGTGCGTCTAGTTTCTCCTCCAGTTCACATCATCACACCGTTAAAATTCCTGTTTCAAACTCTACAGCAAGTTCCCCGGACTGCAAAATTATGGAACTCCCTCCCAAGCACCATCTTCTCTCTCGAATACAATAATCCACAAACTTTCAAAGTAAACATCCACCATCATTTTCTGACATAGTCAAATATCTATAGTACATTCTAGCTCAGTACCTAGCAGTGGTAAAATTGCTTTGCAGAAAGCAATACCGTTAGAAATACTCACGGTGAGAACTGGACAGAAGGGAGGCTCTTCAGCATGGTGAACAGGTCCGCCTCTGCCAGCCTCTTGGATCTGTGGAGGAAACACTCTAGCGTAATAACAGATGTAACACAGTCACTGACGAAAGCTAGTGGATAGTAGCTGAAACGTCTGACCGTTTCCAAAATCATATCCAGTTGCTTGAGTAACTACTTTTTGGTGTATCGTATTACCTGGATGTCTAACCTTCATCGACGTAACAGGTGTAACATTTTGCAAAAAGAACACCTTTTTTAACATCACAACAAAACCTGGCATAGTCGATTGTGCGATTCATTATTTGTCTTCGAAGCTAGAGCTTTTTAAACTAGAGTTCCACGATATCATACATTCGCTAAATAATGTTAACCTTTAGGACTGACGAATTATAAAAATGTGTCTTATTGATTATGTACATAAATTATATCTATTTCTATATACAAGGACATATTCATCTTAGCATATATATAATGCCAATGAATGAATGATTTGCATAAGTTATGTTTAATACCGTTCACCTTCACTTCCAAATGCCGCAAAATGAAATTCCAGGCTGTTACCACTATAGACCTGTAGTATTTTCTCATTAGTTATGCAAATTATGTATTTTTATTTAGATAATTAATAAATGCCAAAATACTATAGTCCTATCATTGAACGCAGCAGATTTATAGAATTTCCTCATTTGTTATGCATATTAGATCCCGATTTGTCATTTATTTATATCAAGCTACCTACATACCAAAATCACAACGATCCGTCAACCGGCTCTTGAGTTATCCTCCTTCAAAGATCTTCCGTCTCTTGTTTTTGGCATGGGCTATTCCAAACTCTTCAAATGTGCAATGATACCGAAAATGTGTTAAGATATGGCAGTAAGTGTCAATATCTGACAGATTTCCTCATGCAGAATTTTGTTTGGCGCCCTGAAATTACATTGAACCAATTACTAGTGCATGTACTCTGCCCAAGGAGGTTATATACAGATGCACCCTGGCAGTCTGGCAGGATTTCCATGTAAAGTTTGCCTCCAGCAGAACAGTTACCCTGTATGTAGCACAAAAGCCTGTTAAGCCCGTGGTTTGTGGTACGCTCGATGTTTTGTGTTGGACAGATGTGTCCACGGCCTCCATATCCCTGTGTCAAACCACATGTGACTTTTCACTTTATCAAACCACTCCCGATGTCTGCTTTTGTGTGAGAAACAGCTACCAGCTTCCCTGTAGTTCAGTTTTCTCTGCGATAATTTTACAACAGAGCCTGTCCAGGGGCGCAGATTAAAGACTTTTTATGTAGTTCTTATACTTCCACTTCAGTAAAGCCCCGTACATCCACCCCGCTCCCGGTGTGCAGCAGCTGCTGCCTGGTCCTAATCCAATCATAATTTGCCGTCTTTATTATTATTTCACTCCATACTATAGTATAGCTATATTTGTAAAAAAAATTGGAACAAGATAATTGCCAAGTGCCATTTTTGTAAATAAAGCTGTCGAGATTCAAAGAGCTTGTCCTTGTATAATTGCAGTATGGTTATTATTCAGAATCTTCTATTTTTGTTTGGGGAGGGAGATGGAGTGAAATATTACATTTGCATATTTGCGCCTTTCTAGTTCAAACAATCTTACCTGAAGAAATGGAACACCCATTGTAGAAAATAGAATTTTTTCATCTGTTTTATTAAAGAAAAAATACAAGGACAAAGTTTTCTAATTACCGTCTAGTTTTCAGCAAAACATATGAGATTGAGCAAGTCGTAGCATACTACTAAATTCTTTATTAGTTTTTTAAAGTACTTAAAAGCTTTATTTTTCAAATTGGCAATTATAAAGTGTAACAGCATAAGTTACTTTTATGGTAATATATGGCATTTGGTCATAGCCTAATGTTTTAAACATCGTTCTACGAACATCTCAAAATTGTCTGCAAAATACTTGCATTAGGATAATACATGTACCATGATGAGTATCATTAGAATAATTTAGTAAATATAACGTAAGAATGCTGCAATGATACGGGATGTCGTGGGCACAGCCTGATCTTGGAATACCAGACGACATAAGTACGATATTTTTCATACCAGTTCTTATTGTTATACCACGTTGAAGCTATAAAAGAGGTGGTTATAGAAAACTGACCAGGCCTGATGAGACCATATACACCGTGAAACAGGCGGGTCATTAACGTTGTTATCATATAGCCCGGAATAGCCTATCCAAATCATACAAAGAACATCTACAGCACATATACAGTTGATTCAATTATGATCAATCTTTAAAGCAAAGATGTGTGACGGAAAAACAGTCGAAAATGCATTACAGGCCATTACCTCCACCCCTGATGTTTGTTTATCCATTAGTCTATAATACATCAGACACACATCGCTGATTTGGAAATTTTGGCAAAGTGAACTCCGTATTGAATCCATTTATGTTTTCAGGAAAAAGAACCCGTTTCAGAACACCAAAAAGTCAAACCCAATTTTTTATAGCTTGATGAAGATTCGAAAGAGGTACGGAACAAGTGGGGACAACTATTTCAGAACATGCTCCAGAACATGGTCAAACAGAGCTTACCTCCCCGACCATTCCCAACCTTCTCCAGACCATGGTTGGTAATAAGTCGTGTGCAAGGTTGTCTGTGATGGCAGTTGGTCTCTGGGGTTGGCTAATTTGGTCATCTCCCCCAGCCGTATGTTTCTCTTTTTTTAGATCGGGAAATCGCGGAATGGATTGTGTTTGGATGCGGTTGGGAATCGGTCATCAAGCGGTTGGGAATCGGTCGGGAGGAAATCAGCAGATGTCGGGGCATAGTTGGAGACGAGTGTTTCTAAAGCTACCCACGATAGCTCCAGACCCTTGGACGGATCCCTCAGACATCCCTGTGGCGGCATGTCTTAGTCTTAGGCCTTTTTGGTGGTGGACATGAGGTAGTTGTGTGTATCGGTATACTGGATCGAATAATCAGAACTGGACCTAACGTTTCGGTTCAAGTCAAACGTCGAACTCGATGATTTGGTCCTGGACATACAAAAAAACTAGTATTCATGTCTCATATGACATTCCCCTTTTGTTCTAAACCACCTAAAACCTCCCGTAGATAGCAAAATTTGCGCTGGAAAATGACAAAAATGTCGAAAAATGAGGCATCTTCGAGTGTCGGTCTCCCTGGATATGGCCACAGTTTCGCCCAGATATGGCACGCAAACAACAACGTGTAAGGGCACGGTCACATTTCCAACCCGCGGCCCGGCCGGATTTCAACCCGGGGCCCGGCAGGGTTTTTTGCGTGAACAGAAAATAAACAATTTGTATTAAGAGTATGCACAAATAGTGCTCATGGTTAATTTTCTAAAACTTTTTTTTTGTGTGTTTTGCTGTCTTATATCATAATTTTC